AGCCAACGCACGCAACACATTTGAACCATCGAACGCCTGAGCGCAACCAACACGCTCTCGCTCTCTCCTACACACAATTCGAACATCAGCAGCTGCACACACTTGAATGAAAGACCAATATAAACTCTAAGATGCGTAACGCCATACGATTTTTTTGCACACGAATTTTTTGTGCTGGCTTTTCAACTGGCTTTTCGCTCTCTGCCCAAAAGCCAGCAAGAGAGCGCTCTAAAGCCAGCCGCTCTTTTGCGCGCATACTGCGACAGCTGACGAATGTATGTGTGCACATGTATTCACAAGCGAAGAAATTCGCTGCAGCGCGCTGTCGAAATATACTCTATATTTTAAAATTATAACATTATTAAAAATACTTATATTGTATTGCCTTTATATTTACTTTATTTACTAATTATTCGAATGTATAAATGACCAAATATTTCTAAGTATAAAAAAAACATAATTTATTTCATACATGACTTCACATTGGAATAATTGTCATTAGGGTATTCAGTATGCGACGTGTGAACAATTTTTAGGAGCCTCAGAAATTTTGCGATTGAACAGGATGAATATTTTTATATTTATTGTATTTTAAATATATGGATTAAAAAATATGTGGTATTTTTAATTTATACGTATTATAATAACATTATATAAAATTATTATCATAATATAAATTAAATTTACATAAATATTTGTAAATTAACTATTTAAATTATTTAGAAAAAAGAGAAACCCAAATGGGAAACAAAAAGGTTTAAATAATTTAAGTAGTCAATATATTAAAAATACTATTTAATAATTAAAATAGTTAATATACAAATACATACTTAAATATTATATATACATTTTATAAAAATTACCCATTTTTAGTATTTCTTATGAATATTAAATTTGGTTAAATGATTTTGTGCCTTTTAATTTGATTTGTAAAACGCGCGCTTTTGGGTGAATTGTAAGCGACACTAATAAATAAATAATATTTTATTGAAAAATTAAAAAAAAAGGCACCGAAAAAACATTCTAAAAAATATAACAAAACGCTTTCGACAACTTGGAAAAAAGTTATAAATATGTATGTACGTAATATTAAATATAAATAGGATATCCTGTAGCTTAGTTTTATAATTAAGCATTCAATTCGTGTTATTATAAATAGTTTAACTTTTTATAAAATAATAATATTAATAATAATAATAATAATAATACAAAAAAAAGACGGATAAATAAAAATGAATATCTGCAAATTAAATTAAATGTTTCGTTTTATATATTTAAATTAATTATAAAAACATACCTTTTAACACAAAACATATCAAACTGCTTGAGTAAATAAGAATAGATTAAAATGCAGGTTGATAATATTAGATATGATGTTATTCGTATTTACTTAAAATTTTTTAAGTCATTAGATCAAAGTTTAAAATATTTGAAAAAAAATTAAATTTAATATTTCCATTTTAAAGTTAATAAAAACAGCCATGGATAAAAAAAAAGCGAAATATATTTAAATATATTCAATTTAAATATAGTTCCCTTTGTTTTTGTTTAATAATCATATTATATTCAAATCTATTAAACTTTATTGAAAAAGTGTTACATTTAATAAGCCAGTTTTATTTGTTTTGATTTAAAAGTTTTGTTTTCAGCTTTAATTTAAATATGTAAAACGAAACTATGAATTAAAAATGCAGATATTAATTTTTAAGGAATATAAAAAAGTTTTACATCAAGCTTCATTGCCATATCTACATAAATGCAATTTAAATAATCATCCTGTTCAATCATATAAGTTCTTTTGACACACAATTAGTTTCTTAGTCCAGAAATGATTTCTGGACGAAAATCGTCTTTTGGAACAAATACGCACACATACGCACTTTCTTATTCGTGCAATTCTATTTTTAGATTTTTACGCTCCCAACTTTGTGCGAGCGGAGAGAGCGGAATTTTCGTCGCCACCAAAAAACGAGCTGCATATTGCAAAACCAATGTATGGGCGTTACGCATCTTAGAGTTTATATTGGTCTTTGCTTGAACCACCTCCACCCTGTGAGGAACCGTAGAACGGCCCTCACAATTTACTTTGTAGCCATGTAGGATTTTTGTAGCCATGTAGGATTTTGTAGCCATGTAGGAATATTTTTAGTTTAGCTTTTTAATAGCCAACGCAGCAGTTGCACACATTTGAACCACCGAACGCCTGAGCGCGACCAACACGCTCTCGCTCTCTCCTACACACACTTCAAACATCAGCAGCTGCACACATTTAAACCATCGAACGCCTGAGCGCAACCAACACGCTCTCGCTCTCTCCTACACACAATTCGAACATCAGCAGTTGCACACACTTGAACCATCGAACGCCTGAGCGCAACCAACACGCTCTCGCTCTCTCCTACACACACTTCAAACATCAGCAGCTGCACACACTTGAACCATCGAACGCCTGAGCGCAACCAACACGCTCTCGCTCTCTTCTACACACAATTCGAACATCAGCAGCTGCACACATTTGAACCATCGAACGCCTGAGTACAACCAACACGCACTCGCCCTCTTCGAACAGTTTGAACACCTGCACAAAGCCAACACACACACAAGCTTTTCGTCGCACGATCGAACCAAATTGCAACCAACCCGACCGATGTTTTCGAGCAAGGGGAAATTATTCTGCCTGGAAACTGCCGAAGCGCAAGTGCAGCGGCAGCAACGCCGACGCAATGCATGGGGTGCGTGCGCCGATATCAAAGAGGGGAAAGGCAATTACTCTTGAGGCTTCGCGCGTGCCAGACTAAAATCGTGAGACAAAAACCCGGGAAACCGCCCCGCCGTAAAAAATTGACAAGTGCGTGAAACGTGTGATACAATGTCAACCGACAGTGGCGATGTTGATGGAGTGTGCGAATCAACTGGCTGGATTTGCTGTGGACGGAAACGTAAGCGTCTACTATATATTTTCCGAATATATTTTTGTTTTTGAAAACAACGACTGGACTAGAGTGGCGTGACAAGGAGGCTTTGTACACCCCTTGCACAAAACTTAAATAAAGAAAACAAAGTATTTGAAAACCCAAAAGCTATTTGCCTGACCGTGTTTTGTGTGTGAGTGAACGTAGGAGGGGATTGGGAACTATTTTCTCTTGCCTCCATCTAGGAAAAACCCCCCTTCTCTGCCGATCGTGGTTGGACCGCGTGGTGGCCAAGGATTACGACGGAGTCTTGCACTTGCTTGTCGGATCTAAATCCGCTGCAGGTTTCGGCCCATGGTCGGCATCTCTGGGTGACAGTGCCCACAAAACCGCCTTCCTTTTCTTTTGTTGCTGTTTCTGTCGATCGTTGCCGGACCGCTTGGTGGCCAAGGATTACGACGGAGCTAGCCTCGTTTGTCGGCTCCAAGGATCATTGCGGGTTCCGAGGCGCGTGGCGGGTAGAGATTACGACGGAGCTCTGCTCGATTGTCGGATCCAAACCCGCTGTGAGTTCCGGCCACGGAGTCTGAATAGGGTCATTTTTATCTCGCCCCTCCCTTGAGTCCTTGAACTTAAATAAATTATTGTAAGTGACCCTGGGAGCCCTGAGCACAATATCCCAGCCTAAAAACTTCCTTACATGGCGACCGAACAGAAACTTCAAGGATGCGGAAAATTTTTAAATAATTTTTCCTCAAAAAAAAAAAATATATATCATTTTTTTTTCTCAAGAAAAATAAAATTTTTTTTTGTTGGGGTATATGGCGTAAAGAAGCATGAGATAGACACCCACCCCCTAAGGTCAGACCAAAAAAAAAAAGGATTTTTTTTTACACACACACACAGAATTTTCCTTCATATATCATTTTCCCTCTACGAAACCGCGTGGTGGCCCAGGATTACGACGGAGTCTTGCACTCGCATGTCGGATCCGAAGCCATTGCTGGTCGCGGAGCGCGTAGCGGCCGTGGATTACGACGGAGCTAAGCTCGTTTGTCGGGTCCCGGAGCACGCTGGAAAAAATTTTTCCTGGGGAAACGGGAAAGAAAATATAATTATGTGTGGCTGCGCAAAATTTTTTTTTCTCCTATCTCGCTTCCCACGTTGTCCCGAACGCGGTGGACACGTGGCCGGCTACTATAAGAGGAGCACATTAGGCTACCAGAAGTCAGTCAAGCTCCGGCCCTCAAGCGGGAAACCGCCCCGCCGTGAAAATTTGACAAGTGCGTGAAAAACGTGTGATACCATGTCAACCGACAGTGGCGAAGTTGATGGAGTGTACGACCCTGTTCCTGCTGCGGAGGCATGGGGAATCAACTGGCTGGATTTGCTGTAGGCGGAAACGAAAGCGTCCACTATATATTTTCTCGATATATTTTTTTGAAAACGACTAGACTGGAGTGGCGTGACAAGGAGGCTTTGTACACCCCTCGAACAACCTTAAATAAAGAAAACAAAGTATTTGAAAACCAAAAGCTATTCGCCTGCCGTGTTTCGTGTGTGAGTGAACGTAGGAGGGGAATGGGAACTATTTTCTCTTGCCTCATCTAGGAAAACCCCCTTTCTTTTCCTTTTTTTTTTTTTTTTGCTGTTTGCGTGGTGGCTAAGGATTACGACGGAGTCTTGCACTCGCTTGTCGCATCCGAAGCTATTGCCGGTCCCGGAGCGCGTAGTGGCCGTGGATTACGACGGAACTCTGCTCGATTGTCGGATCTGAATAGGGTCATTTTTATCTCGACCCCTCCCTTAAGTCCTTGAACTTAAATAAATTGTTTTAAGTGACCCTGGGAGCCCTGAGCACAATATCCCAGCCCAAGAACTTCCTTACAAGATAAACAATTTAGAAACAATGGATTGAAGACGATTGGTGCGATAAAAAATATCAACTACCCATTCACAGCAAACTACTGGCCAAAAGTTTTAAAAATGTTGTTGAACTTGTTTTGGATATGCTTTAGTTGCCAAAAATAAAAAAATTTAATTAATTTAAAAATTTATATTTTTTGTTATCATTTAAACGGTAGTTACCTGAACAAACTTAGATAGTTTTTTGTGTAGCACATACGATCGCTGCTTCATTACCGTAATATCCTTTTTACTGGAATCTTTATGCTGACCATTTTTTATTGGATTCGCGTATAAATTAGCAAATTCCCGTTCAGTCCCAAGGTATAAAGGTTTAATGAAGTTCACCATGCTATAATCTGTAAATTAAAATTTGTGTCGGTTATAAATAGTTTTCATTATTTAACGTTTTTTATTAACATAGAATTTATCTACAGCACAGTAATTTAAATCGATCGGTTACAAGGGAAACCAGGTTAAACTTAAAAACTGGACATTGGGCCCACTGAACGCGGGGAGTCTAACAATAAATAAATGTCTAACAATATATGGGCATACTTCGGATGCACCGTAAATTATCCGTACATCAGCCCTATGACCCGAACAGTGAGTGAGAAAATGGTTTTTCTGCAAAGAACGTTAGTAACATTACTAACAGGAACAAAGAGCCGCAACCACTCTTCAAGCCGGACAGCAGAGTCTTTATGAAAAATTAGTGCATCCCATTTATAACCTGCAATACCTATTGCACCGAAGAATTAAGGTGGAAGAGTCACATAAAGGGAACGCACCAGACTTTCACAATTCCGCTATCTGCCCTGCCAATAAGGAAGACCCATAAAGAGCCGAAACTTTTGCTTCACATCCTGGAAGCGTTTTTTAGCTTCCTGTCACTAGTCACCCTGTCACTAGTCCACTTCTCCTGCCACAAATCGAATCTTATATAGTTTCCTTACCAACATTGTTTCAGCCAAAGGAGATCGCGTAAATCATTGGGGATCTGAAACTGAAAAAGGGTGACCTAATAACACCAAAAATGATAATAGACCTTCCAAACTCTGCTATTGAGGCTATTTGTAAATTCTTCAATGGGATCATACGTCTCGGCTTCTATCCGAGCAAATGGAAAAAATCTACTATTATAATAAGTTTATTATCGTGTCTGTCTAAATTATTCCAAACACGCATAATACCATATCTGGATGCACACAATGTTATCCCGGCGCATCAAATTGGATTTCGTCAAATCCATGGACAAAAACAATTGCCTACAAACAGAGTCTTCGCAGTAAGGTGCAACACAAAAACATGTGAGGACGCCTAAAGGCGCCTCTCATAATATCTCAGCCATTGAAGCCCATATGTACGTCCTAGCCACTGAAGGCCTGATTAGATATTAAGTTTCTCAAAATATGTTTAAGTCTAAAACCTAAGTAATCCTAGTTTTCAAATAGGCGCGCGCGAGGTCACCAGTATTGATCAGCAAGATCAGTCCGCTGGCCAGTCGGGGCAAATGCCCAACAGTATCGATAAGTTATCGCAATCACCCGTGAGTAAGCGCGCGTGCTGTTAAACGCAATGCGTGCGATTAAGGACAAGCTTAGTTCTGTTAATAGCAAAAACCGTGCTGTAAAGAGAAAAAGCGTGTCGACGTGGAACCGCGATCGACGGGGATCGGCCTCATTCTTTTGCGGCAGCCAAGCAACTCGGACCACAAGGACAACACCAGCAGCAGAAAACCCCGCGGACGGCAACGCCATACCAAGCTATAGAGTAAGACAAGAAGCAGAGACTAGAAACCCACATACTGAGTGCGAAGGTTAGGGAGAAAGACTAAGTGAATAAAATAAACATAAAGTTGTGAAATTCAAACCCCCAAGCCTGGCTACTAAAATTTAGTGAACTTCGCTGAGTGTTTTCGGGTCGGCTAGGTTACCGTATTGCGTATCCGAGGTTTATTTTCTCTACGCAACGCGGACACCAAAGCTACCCACGTGCTACTCCAGGTCGGGCAAGTTCTTGTATTGCGTTTCCGAGGTTTATTTTCTCTACGCAATACGAACGCTTACCAGACTAGAGAAAAGAGCGGGAAACTATCGTCGGCCTTTTCTACTTACGCTCAAGTTAGGGAGAGGCTAATAAGATTTAGTGCATTTCGCGGAGGGGCTTTCGGGTCAGTGAGGTTTCTGAGTTGCGTTTCCGAGGTTTATTTTCTCTACGCAACGCGGACGCCAAAGCTGCCCGCGTGCCTATTCACGTCGGGCAAGTTGCCGTATTGCGCTTCCGAGGCTTTCTCTGTGCAATACGGACGCTTCCCGGACCGGAAAAGCTAAGCCCGATCGCCCGCGCTTAGGCCCAGTCGAAATCCCCGTGAGTTAAATTTGCGGCGGCCCCCGTTTTCGTGTTGCGTTTCCGAGGTTCGTTTTCTCTACGCAACACGGACGACGAGGCTGTACGCGTGCTCGTCCGCGTCAGACAAGTTCCCGTATTGCGCTTCCGAGGCTTACTCTGTGCAATACGAACGCTTGCCAGACCGGAAAAGCTACCCGGGTGCTAATTGGTGTCGGCCAGTTGACATTACGCCTCCGAGTGATCTGCGCTACGTAGAGGTGGAGACCCAGACCACGTGATCCCGTAAACAAAATCCCGGCGGCAACTCCTAGTCCCGTTTCGTCTCCTGTGTTTCTACAAATTTAACTGTAGAGGACTCTGGCCGGACTGAAGTCTATCCCAGCCTAAGAAAAAGACCTTACAAACATTTGACGACTACATGTCCCGAAAGGAAGCGCACTTGGGCCTACTCTGTTTGTCCTATATACAGCAGATATTCCTACACACGAGCAGCTAAAAACATCTACGGTCGCTGACGTTGAAAGGTGGATATCTGACTGGTGTATGAAAATAAATAAACAAAAATGTAAACACATAACGGTTGCTCCCAACAGGCAAACATGACCTCCACTATCATCGAATAGAACGCCGATTCCCCAAGTCAACGAACTAAATTATCTCGGCGTCCACCTCGACATCCGAATTTCCTGGAGAATACACATCGAATGCAGGAAACTACATCTAAAACTAAAAGTCAGCTCGATCGCCCCTGCGTCTGGACTACAAGGTCCTGCTCTGCAACTCCACTCTCAAGCCTATTTGAACATATGGCTCCCAGCTATGGGGGAACGCGAGCAGCAGCAACATTGACATCATACAGCGCCCACAATTGAAAATCCTGAGATTTATGCTTCAAGGAAATTAATCTCGCACTTATAACAAATAATTATAATAGTTTTATTTTCTGCTACATATTATGGTTGAAGTTCGGCATATTTTGAAAAACCAAGGTTTAACAAGAGAGAACGCTATAGTCGGGTGCCCCGACTATTAGATACCCGTTACTCAGGTAAAGGGAGTGCGAGGGAGATGGAGATAGAAATTTTGATCACGCATAACTTTTTAACGAATGGTCCGATTTGAAAAATTTCTTCTACATTTCGATAGGTATTGATAAACACAATAAAACTGCATTTTTACTTTTCCGAAATATTTAAATTTTTAAAATCGCATATGAGCGATTGTGGGCGTTAAAGGGGGCGTGGCACCATTTTGAAACAAACTTGCGCTGCGTAGGAACTCCTAGAATCTGCTTGCATAATGCCAATCTTCTAGCTTTTATAGTTTCCGAGATCTCAGCGTTCATACGGACAGACAGACGGACAGACGGACAGACAGACGGACAGACGGACATGGCTATATATTTATAGGGTCGGAAACGCTTCCTTCTAGCTGTTACATACTTTTGCACGAATACAATATACCCTTTTACTCTACGAGTAACGGGTATAAAAAGGCACTAAAATCTAAATACACATTTATGCCATTTTTTTCTGAACTGCAAGATCTGGAGATATATTATTTTAGTTGGTTCTTCCTCAATTTTTATACCCTTGCAGAGGGTATTATAATTTCAGTCAAAAGTTTGCAACGCAGTGAAAGAGACATTTCCGACCCTATAAAGTATATATATTCTTGATCAGCATCACCAGGAGAGTCGATCTAGCCATGTCCGTCTGTCCGTCCGTCTGTCCGTCTGTTCGTCCGTCTGTCCGTCTGTTCGTCCGTCTGTCCGTCCGTCCGTCCTTTTCTACGCAAACTAGTCCCTCAGTTTTAAAGATATCTGCTTGAAACTTTCCCAAAAGTTGTCTTTCTATTGCAGGTAGGGAACGAGCCGGATCGGCCGACTATATCTTATAGCTGCCATATAACTGAACGATCGGAGAGGCCATAACTTTGGTATTTTTAAAGTTAGGAAGTTAGGATTTTTTATGGGTTTTATATTTGGCCAATCAATCCGACGTACCAAATTTCATAAGGATCGGTCGACTATATCCTATAGCTGCCATATAACTGATTGATCGGAAATGCCATAACTTTGGTGTTTGTAAAGTTAGGAAGTTGGAAATTTCTATGGGTTTTATTTTTGGCCAATCAATCCGACCTTCTAAGTTTCATAAGAATCGGCCGACTATATCCTATAGCTGCCTTATATCTGAACGATTGGAAATGCCATTACTTTGGTGTTTTTAATGTTAGGAAGTTGGGTTTTTTATGAGTATTAAGAATGCATCATATAAATAATTTTGAAGAATATAATTTACAAAATATTCTGCAAGGGTATTTCAACTTCGGCTCCGCCCGAAGTTAGCTTTCCTTTCTTGTTTAAGTTTGGTTGAAATAATTTCAAGGGATTATGGCCGAAGCGAAAAAGAGATATAAACGAAAACCTCGAGTTTTCGCCGAAATGATAGAGCTAAGAGCGTTAGAGTGAAGACGAGAATTAAGGGCAAGAAGAGACAGGAAATATATTTTTATATATTCATTTATTTTTATATCCTAGCAGAGGGCTTTATAATATCAGTCAAACGGTTGCAAGGCAGTGGAGGAGTCGGGCAGATCGGAACGGTCTGAAAAGGCCGGAACGGACAACTATACCATATAGCTCCTATTGAAACGATAAGAAAAATATATGAAAAAATCGTAGACACGGGCTACCTTTATGGCCCGAAACATTATCTCCATATGTGCGGAAACAAATGGGAGCCGTTGTGTTAAAAGACCATCTGCTATTATCCTTACCGGATTTCACCGCTCTTATCATTTAGACACCCATCCAAGCTCGTGATTGCAACCTTATTGCAACCTTTATTTAATCATATAAAAAGTCCAAAGAAGTGTGAATGGGTACTTTGAAAAAAAACCTTTATAGCCAATGTTACAATGGATCCCGAATCCAACAGAATGCGGTGTCGACAGTCGTTCACTACTTGAGCTAGTGTGAGTGAGTTTCAGATTTCGAAG